GTGTGAAAGGAAGCGTGCGACCGCATGAGCTCGTGTGCATGCACTATTGGAACGCAGAAGCCGTCGAGAGCTTCCATCGCTCGGGGCAACCTGGTAGGTGCAAGAATTCGATTCGATGGCATAAAAAAGCGGTGACGGAGGAATGCTGCAACGTCGCTGCAAATGGAGAATAGATCGTCGTCGCGGAATACCTTCGAAACGCACGCGAACCGCGGAGTGCACTTATTTCATAATTCGCGCTTTACGACCACATGTTCTGCGTGCACACGTTTCCATTTTTCGTTACACTCTGTTTCCCCATACGAACGACTCGGGTTGCAATATCGCTTTACGCAATTTGCGCTCTCGCGCGACTTTTACCGCGATAATTGTGATCTGGCAATGAACACAGCGAGCTCGTCGCGAGAGACTCGCGATTAACGGTGAGAGGGAGAATTTACATTCTCAGCACCAACCACCGTCGCCGAGAACTTTTCACTAACCTCATTTTACAATAGCGGAGAAGATCCCTAGACTCTCAATTGGAAGATAAATGTCATTTTCATTAAATTCATTTCTACGCTAACGATCACGCAACGGACAGAGCGAGAAGAAGAATTTACATTTCCAGCAGCAACTACCTTCGCCTGGAGAACTTTTCACTAACCTCAATGCGTGAAAACTTGTAGATTCCCGGCTGTAAAATTAATGTCGTTTTCAACCAATTTCATTTCTGCGCTGTTGATCGCAAATATTCAGGGAAAACGCCAGACTTTCGACACACTCGGTACGTATCCTCCGCATCCTGGAGTTGCAAGATATCATCAAGCGATGAACATCAAGCGACTCAATTTTTAAATTAGTCTAACTACACAATGCTCCTCGCAGAACGTGCAATTACGTGTCGCTGGCTAATTCGAAGATTTCCACGCCGGGATATCCATCTTATGTATTCCTTCTTCACACAGAAGATCTTTCTGGCCTAGTCAGTATCGGGAGACAAATCGCTGCTGATACATCTACTTACACCGTGTAAGCAGATGAACGATTATACTCTCTGCACCGACACACCGAAGCCGAAATATACATATACACTCGCAACGCGCAAGTTCCACCGCGCGATGTGTGCCAATAAATATTTCGCGGCCGTGTGTGATTTGTTAGATTTGCGAGTCACTCACCCGTGGTATCCGTATTCTTACACACTGGGGCACGTACTTCCCGCCTAAATCGTCTCGTTAGTGCTTGGTTCGCCGAGCCGAGCCGAGCCGGGCACGTACGTGTTCGTATAAATGCGGCCGCCTCGTTTATTGTCGTATCGATGTGACACGTGCATCAGCCTTATGTCACACAAGGCTTCGTGCGACGGGGACGTGCTGTCGTGACGCGTCGTGCGTGTTGGTCACTGCACTTCCGCCCGGGACGCAATACGTCTTGCACAGTGTGCACTTTACGTCTGGCTCACGCGATATCGCCGGCTGGTATCTGCAACGATAAGAAATTTCACTGCGGGGGGCGGGCATAATTCCGCCGACTTTTCGTCTATCGTCGTCTTATCGAACGACGAAAATGCGACTTTGTGAGAACGTTGTATATTACCTGTGTGTCATATACATATGCAGTGTCGGGCAACAATACCATGTACAAATGTACGTGTAGATTAGATCGAACTTGAAAAAAGGTACTCTGTTATTTTGCAAGCAAGCGTGTAAGATTTTGAGTCGTCGATTGGAAAATATTTGTGAATAATATTGCATACGATTATACACATCAATCTCCTTTAATTAGCAATTTCACGTTTTTTGTTTTTCCGCAAAATAGTAGAGGAATTTTTTGTTCAGCTTGACCCAATCTACAAGTACAAGAAAGCTTTAAATATATCGTATAGGACACCTTATATTTTATTTATATTTTATATACATACATAGAGCGCCCGAGATCTTTCGGAAACGAAAAATTGTGAAGATTAATCAAATCAAACTGAGAAGAAAAGTCAAGTATCATTTCGCAAAAATAGTTATTAAGTTATTAATGATTGAAAATTATCACATCCAGAGGCTCTTTTAATTGATAACTTGAACATTTGCCCACTTGTTTGCAAAATGGTACTTGACTTTTCTTTTCAGTTTGATCTGATTAATCTTCACAATTTTTCGTTTTCAACTGATCCCGGACACCCCGTATAATCGTAATCGTAAGATCACGACTGCGCGGAAAAATCATCACCAAGTCGTAAAATGAGAACATCTCGCTTATCTCGCCAGTCCTCTTATCAATCGCTGTTCGGTGTCCTACCACTGAAATCAAGAGCGTCTGTGGCTCGTGCTGAAACCTTCGTAGAACTCTATGAACGCTCATGAACATAACCGGAAGGGAACATATGGACAGCGATGGATGCCTCTACGCGCGCGATTCACGGATTAACGAAAAATCGAACGCTCGTATACGCGCGAGATTGCGTCACGAGCTGGTATCGATCGATCGATCAACCGGTATTGGCCAACGTGGTCGGCTAGTCCGCGCAGGTGCCTGGCGGAACGTGGGTGCCCACTGTCTCGTGGGTGGCACGAGAGGGCTTGAAATCCGTGTTTTTTACTCACCTTTCGGAAATATAAGGTTTTCGTTGAGCGAGGTCACGACGCCCACGCTATCGCGCGCATGGCGAACAGCTGCGATATACGACGAGTGAAAAGTCGTCGGTTCCTTTCCCGCGTAGGACGACAGCGAGACGCGGTTACAGCAAGTAACGCCGCGGCGCGACGTTGTAACGATCAGATTAGATGTGCGGAGACTTTTTAATCGACGACCGCGCGCGATCGTTAACTGTTCAATCGCCAGCTTGGCGCGATTAGACGATGACTTATGCTCGGAGGAGTACTATTGTAGTGGACTTTGCGTCTCGGTATAATCCTGGTGTTCGGTTTGTTAGAAATTTAGTGAGACGGGTGTGAGTGACTTCGAGATCGGTAGAGGTTAATTGAAGCAAAATAATACATCGCGCGTTTGACAAATGGCCAAAAGTCGCGGTAATTGTTTCCAGCGTTGCCTACACACATGTTGTGGTCCACATCTGTTTATTTCGCATCAGAACACACATTGTTACGCTTTTTCGCAATTAAGTCCCAGGAAGTGGTGTATTCTACGTGCAATCCGAGGTTGAATGTTATAAATGGACCGCGCGCGCGAGATACAAATGAGCCATTCATCCGCGGATGCTACAGTTTAATGCAAAGAGAATGAGGAAACGAGGATTAAAATATATTACGCGCAATTACAGTTTCATCGCCGACCCGTTTCTCAGAATTCATCGATTCGCGAGATGGGTCGCGCGATTGCGCACAAGCTCTCGATTATCCCGAATCTCTCGGATCCCTCTGCAATTGCGCTGGAAATCGTTATCTCTGTAGGCTGCGCGTGAAAGCTTATTAGACTTAATTGGAAGGAAAGTAGATTTAAGTACCGACGACGATTAATCTCGCGGATTGAGATGTCAGATGTGTATCAAACGCGAGCATCAGCGGGGAACAGAGACGGCAGAGTCTACGCTGGAGATCCACGGTCGATCCACGAAATTGACTGATTTTGCAGTGATACTTCCCAGTTAGAACCACAACGTTGATTCAAGGTTGATTCGACCGTCGTTTCAACGTCGAATCAACGTTACGATTCTGACTGGGTCGTTAATACTTAACACAAAGATGCATACCTCGTATTTGTTACATTTTGCTGTCGATGCAAAATGTTGAGATGCACCTATCCTCGGTTTGTTCGCACAGTAGTCGCACACCAAGCTGAGCATGGAGTGGATAAGACGTAGCGGAATTACATAGCAGCATTATTATTCCGTGCACAGTAGCCACAACTGCATGAAGACGCGCGAGGCCAGACACCGTGTCTTCGTCGGCTCATTCTGACCTTAGGCGGGCTTTAAGAAACCTGTTTCGAACGTCGCCCATTACATTTGCATTTTAGCTATCTGATATCGCTGAAAAAGGAAAGGACCTAGCGCCTGCGACTCGTACCTGCGACTAAAATCTTCCGACTGGAGACAACTCAATCTACTCGAAAGCGAGATCTAGAGAAACCACAATCCCCCTCTGAGAAACTCCGCCAAGAAACAGCGACGAGTACACGTTTGTGTACGAGACAATGAAAGAAAATGTTTCTTGCCATGAAATATGTTTTGCTTTTCAATATAATCTCCTGAAATATCAATATATTTATTCCAACGTTTTTCCAATAATTTTCAATACCATCATTAAAGTGTGATTCCGGAAGGTTCTTTTCGCTCTGGTGGTGGGTATAGTGGTGTATCCAAGTTTCATCAACAGTTATGAAACGAAACTTGAGATCCGTTTTATTTTGCTTAAAACGATCCAAACACGCTTGAGAAATACGCATTCGAATGCGTTTTTGGTCAATTACCAGCAAATGCGGCACCCATCTTGCGCAAAGCTTTTTCAACTGGTGCTTCTACTCGAATGATTTGACAAATCGAATGAAATTTTACATGGGTTTATATCAGGGATGCCACTTTCCAATACAATTATAGTTTGACAGTTTCTAATGCCATGTATGTGTCAGGTCGAGAACTTTTCAGACTGCCTACGTACATACGAAAGATCTCGTTTACGCTAATTTCAATTCAACGTCAATACCACTGTAGTCGAATAACGCCAACATCAATGAGAGAACGTTTCAATTGTCATTATCGCATTGTTTTGCGCAGATGTATTCGCTCTTAAGCAAATTCTGGTTAGATTCCTGGCCAGAGGTAGCTGAGAGGTTCACGTTATCCCACAACGGTTCACAGGGAACCTGATTTACCTCCCTGCTTCAGCGCAGCACCGTCGATGGCGCCATCGACTACTGTTAGCGGCCTGCGCGAGGATACTCGAAGTTCCCGTTCTTGTTGAGTAGCGACACTATATCTTGAGTTCTGTCACGACATGACAGAAGTGCCAATAGTTACCGTCAGAAGTATCACGGCGCTGTCACTTGTCGCAGGTCCCTGTCTTGACAGTAGGCGGTTCTTAGTCACTTGTACGTGTGGTTCGCGTGCATGTGCGTCGTCGCATGAATTTTCGCAGGTGGTGATTTTTCGGTGCCGCGACGACAGGGGCCCGAGGTGTGCGCCGGTCGGCGTGTCGGCACTCGAGGAGCACCAACGTGAGTCCCGAGGCGCCTTGATCGAAGGGCGTAGCCCGAAATCAAGGGAGAAAAAAGAGGTCTCGAGATCGCCTGTGTACGTAAGGCGTAACCTCGCGTTCGGTTTCGTGTCCATCCCGTGAGAAAATTACGAGAACACGCACGTACGGAGAAGTGAAGGAGGAAGAGAAGAAGAGGAAGAGGAGGAGGAGGAGAAGGAGGAGGAGGAGAGAGAGGAGAAGGTTTGACAAGCGGACCATCGGACTGGCGTAGTACGACATTACACAATGTCGAGGCGATTCTCGTTGTCGGTGGCGTAGTTCTCAAGTTGGATCAGGGTGCGCGAGGGGGACTGTACGATTTATCAGTGATCAACGCTCCAACGGAAATTCTTGCCAATGTGTAATTCGGCGGACACTTCGTACGTACAAAAGTTGGGTTATCTGCACCTTGATGATGAAACCGCGGACACTGGTGGTGCGACAGTTGCGGGCAGAGTTTCAGGCTCCAGACCTGAAGCCCAAGTGCCTGTATCTAGGAGCATAGCCAACAGAAATGATGCCAGGGCGTCTGGCAGGCCGGTCGGTGCTATCGAGAGCTTCATCGAAGGCAATGCTTCAGATATTTCCAGACAAACGGCTTCTGCCGACTACAAGCTATACGAACGCGAAAATATAATAGCTGCTTCGAGATTTGCCACACCGAAGCCAGTAGAGCAGATCAGTGCGCAACAACAACAGCAAAATCAAACTCGCGGAAGTCACCAACAGGTTCCTGTTTATGAGAATATAGATTATTATCAGCAACAGAGTCAGTCGCATCCTCCTTATTATCATCCAGTAGAGTCTAGGAAAAGTCCTAAGAGTAGTCCTAGAGGTTCTTTAGCTAGTGATTCCTATGAGGGAAATTTTAGGAAGGCTCAACCGCAAGTACCGACTGGTAATCGCTATCAAAGCACATCTCCTGCAAAAGAATTACCGCCGTATGAGGCACCACCGGTATATGAGAACATACAGGAAGTACATTTTTCTGATAATATACAAAATAAGCCAGGACCTCAGGTTCCACCTAATTATTATCATCCAGCAAATATCAATGGTGGTGACTATGTTGTTATGACTGGAAAAGTAAATCAATCTCAGAATCAGCGAGGAATGACCCAAAGTTTGTCATATACGCAACAAAGAGGTGGAAGTACTCGTGGCCAGAGTTATGATGCTTCAAGTTTACAGCGGTCAATCGATTCGTCTGCATCTAGGTACTTACAGGGCTCATCCTCTGCCTCTTCAGATCATCAAGCTGGGAGGAGCGCTTATGTTCCTCCTTCTGAACTACAACCGCCAAACAGAAACTTTAGTTATAGCTCTGATCAACAACAGCAACAGCAGCAATCCCCTAGATCTGGTTTGCCATATCACAGTGAGTCTCCTCCAATACGTTTGCCGCCTGAACCTCATCATTATCGCGGTGCATTAGACAATACTATAAGTGGACAACAAGGATTTCGTGCTACAAATCAGATTGACAGCCAAGCCTCCCAGTTTCGACAGGATAATGCTCAGAATTACAAGCAGTATATTGAACCGTCCTCAAGAACTTCAAACACAAATTTCCCAGGGGACTCGCAAACGAGAAATTCTCCAGTGTATGGAATTCGCCCAGGAGAGCAGACGATATGTCGTAATTCTCCATGTTACTCTCCAAATCGTGGAGCGCCTCAGAATGAGAGAAATTATCATCAAGAGAACCGAGGAGATTTTCCTACGAGAAATTCTCCCGTTTACTCTTCAAACCGTTCCGTCGAACATCTGAGATTAGGCACACTACAGCAAAATGACAGGAACTACGCGTCAGATGTATCAGATCCTCCCCCTACAAGGAGTTCACCTCTCTACTCTCCAAATCGAAATGATCCTACTAGAGCTATCATTGGCAACAACAATACGACGAGAGGATCGCCAAAAGCAAGCCCAACGCATAGTCAAATAACACCAGACATTAATTCACAGAGCATAATCAATTCACCGAGACATGGGCCACTTTCTGCGTCCAACAATGCCATTGGGAGTCCTATACGTGGGCAAGTGCAAGCTCCTGTTACTAGCGCTTCAACCACGACCAGTGAAGCCGACACTAACATTGGTCCTAGGATAACTAGTCTTCCCCCTGGCGTCACTAGCGGAGTAGCAGGGCCTGTATTTTTAAATGCCGGTGTGCCTGTGCTACAAAGGCCCTCCGATCCGGAAGCAGAAGAGATAAAGTCTGTTAGTCCGCCAGTGAAACCTGCATCAGGCAAAGGATTGCTTCCCTATAATGTCATTCCACCCAGACCTTCGGTAAATTTATCGTTAATGCTTGCAGCATGTTGGTTCGCAGATCCTGTGCTTATCAAAATCCTGTACCTGCATAACAAATATTTTGATCCTGTGTGTGATATCTTTTATCCTAGATTCTGCACATCTGACACTGACTCTACTCGTTTGTCGCCTTGTTGCATGCTTCTTAAAAAAAAAAAAAAAACAACTAATGGAAATTGCATACAGGTAAATTATACTGCACGAGTTATAATGTTAAAGTTATACTTCTCATTAAGGTTTAATGACGGGGATTATATATTTTAAAATTCATATGTAAAAATATTCTCTCTATCTATTAATATCTACTAATCTACTGCACAAAATTTAACACTTAAAATAAACCTGAAGGAGAGAGAGGACAATCTAAAATAAAATAATATAAAATGCTTCGTATAACTATGCAAAAATAATCATACATGCGTGTGTAAAACTTGTACAGAGAATATGCCTGTTAACACTGCCAAAAGCGAATTACAAATACGTACGAGGATGACCTAGATTTACTTAAGATGATCCCAAGGACGTTTCGTCGTATTTGCGAATACAATTTACTTAGATTAACATTTATTAACGACGCCCATCCGAAACGCGTATTCCCTAAAAATCGTGAGTAACTTCCAAGGCATGCCCCTATTGCGTTTTACGAGCGATGATCTCATTAACGCCGACGACTCAATCATTCGCATTTTACATAACGCTTGACCCATGCAACGATAAGCTTAACGCGCAGTTAAGCTGAAATTCTATTTTTGACCGTTGGGTTTGTTTGCTTGCGTACTCCGTCACTGTTGGCCTGTACAAGATAACACTAACAAATAAAGTCTCGTGTTTGCATACTATTTTACCATCTTCCGTCCTCGTTCTTGCTTCATTTTGATCGCCCCCAAGCTATTTCTTTGTTGAATATTAAACTCAATGTGATATTAATAACGCGTGGAAACACAATAATTCTTCGCGATAATTATACAAGCAGAGCAACACTTTACGTCAAGTGTCTTGAGCGTAAACGATAGCCCAAGTGTAAAACGTCGAAGTACCCTCTACAAGTTAACATAAACAGGACGAGTAAACGAATAGAGGCGACTGCTTTTTACGCGTAACTTTTTATCCACTAGTGGACCCCGTGCGAAAAATTAAGATATTCCACGAATTGATTGCATAGTACGCGCCAATTACGCTTGACACTCGTGCATCTGCTATGGGTAAGCCACCACGTGCAAACTACTTTTCGCAGGGACCGACGGAAGCGGAGAGGAAGATAGAGGAACTGACGAGACAGTTGGAGGAGGAAATGGAGAAGCAGGAGGAGGAAGGAGAGTACTTCGGTAAGAAACGATTACTCACACGACGCTTGCTCGGTCGTCTCGCGAAAACGAGCTTATCGACACTTCGTGTTCCATGCTTTTGCGCGGCAACGTCAACCATAAACATAACCGGCCGTTACGCGTACACGACCATTTCTTTCCTTCGATACTTTGACGTTATCTATATCTGTTGTTTTTTTTCTTTTTTTGCGTTCCTCATATCTTCGTGCAGTGAGGGAAGCAAGGAGGGGGGGGGGTGAGGTCGCACGTTTCACACGATGCAACTCGACATTCGCGAACGAATCTATAATTCCAGATATTTCTCGGAAGAGATAAACGTCGCAGAACGACGACACGCTGTGCCAATTCCCACGGCGCGAATTCCGCGGTGGAGACCGGTTTTGGAAAACTGGAGTCGAGAGTTTCGGTGGGGCACGGGTAACTTTTTAGCGCGACACTTCGTTGACATTCACTCTCTCGCGCGCGCGCGCCACGTTAGCTTCCACCCACGTATCTTCGCGTCTCTTCCACGTGAAGGGCCGAGGGTGAGTGTGTGCCACGCACGTGTGTGTGACGCATAGGTGCGTGCATAAGCGTGTAGACCACGTCTTAGTCTTACAGCTCTTTAAAAGCTTTAAAGTAGCATTCATATTAGCATTGATGGAAGGGACAATGCGTCGATGTTGCATCGATGATCGCGAACATGATGATCGTTTCTTTGGCTTCGTCGTATCGAGCCCCACAACATTGATTGCGCAATGCACGAGATTACAGCTGACGTGGAATGAGGAAATTCGATCGTTTATACAATCTCTCCGTTATATCTAATTATATCAATCCAGTTAACTGCTTAATTGGAAGAATTTAGGTAACGCATTTGAAGTGCGTCATGAGAGAAGGGATGATGTAACATTTCATAGCGGTTGTTATAGAATCTGATAACTGTGCATATGGAATAATTATATTCTTTCTTCGTGAATGTTTTATTCCTTGAATAAATGGGCGAACAATTGTCGAAAGAGAAGACGCGCGGTCAATTGACAACGATGAAAAAAGTAAGACCAGTTCGAGCAAAAGGGGCAAGAGGGGTAACGCGGGAGGAAGTGTTATGGCGATAAAATTAGATTGACTTGCTCATTCCGCATACTGTGTTATCATCGGATGAACTCTATCGTTAATAAGATCGAACTTCACCCGATACCTCGCCTGGCTGAGACGAAGGTAACTGGTCTCAGTTGAAAAAAAGGGTCAGAAGGGTGATGCATGAGAATCGACGAGGGGGAGGATGTATGTACGTTCCAATTTATAGCGATCGCTGTTGGACAATACATATATATATATATATATTTACGTATATATATATATATATTGTTACGTATATATATATATATATATATATATATATATATATATATATATATGTGAACGCTGCCTAATGCGCGCAACAAGGAACCGCGGGCATGAGCGGACAGGAACCCCGCTCGAGCGAAGCAATGTCAGTCGAGAAGTGGCAAGCGTTTAGACGAACGTAATGTCCCCCCTAGTCGCCTTCGTGCTCGCGCGAATAGGCTGTACTCTTCGTGTAACGTCCTGTACGCCAGTCGCACTGTCGCGCGGCTACGTCGGCCGGTAACTAATCGCGTTATAGATAGACCAGTCCGACTCGTTGGCCAGATTCTAGTCCGGCCAGGACTGGTCTAGCAAAACCGAGTCGCAAAATCGAAACGGCCAGTGCCAGCGCGGGTGCATGCGAACGACGAGAACTTATCCGCTAAGGGGATGGCAGGATCGCGATTACCCATCGAGAGCTGTGAGTTCGCTTATTCGACTCGGTTCACTCGCGGACGGACACTTGGTGGTCTTTGACAGCGATCGACGACCCGACGAGCACGGCGCATTGTTCCGTCCGCGGACGCCGTGTGTATTTTTAACCCCCGACGAGTGCACCTCGATTCTCCGGCTCCGTGTTCTTCGGCTCCGCGCGTTATTGCGTCGGCAATTTCCAATCATGCCCGCACGCGAATTTTCAAATCGCATTCCGGAGCAGTTGTACTTACAGTTGCATCATTGGCCGGCTTCAAACTTCGCTTGAACTTAAACTATCAAACTTAAACTATCAACTGTCCGCTGGGAATCGACAAGGGTGATTGACGTTACGCGTTGAATATCCGGCGATACACAAGCACAAATGGCGCGTAAATTTCCCATTGACATTTTTTGCTGATAGGTATTTGCCACACGTGCGGTGAGAAAGTGACCGGCGCCGGACAAGCCTGTCAAGCGATGGGCAACCTCTATCATACCAATTGCTTCATATGCTGTTCCTGCGGAAGGGCGCTCCGCGGCAAAGCGTTTTACAACGTTCACGGGAGGGTTTACTGCGAGGAAGACTATCTGGTACGTAAGCCGTTTGAGGGTGCTGGCTCGATATTGCAATAATTATCTATTTAGCTCATAAACGTCGTTGCATCCGCAGTATTCCGGTTTCCAACAGACGGCCGAGAAGTGCGCGATTTGCGGTCACCTCATCATGGAGATGGTAAGCGGCTAGACCAGATCGTTGACATCCGCTAAATCCTTGTGGGAGCTTTAACATCTTTCCTTGTGTTCCGTAGATACTGCAAGCAATGGGCAAGTCGTATCACCCGGGTTGCTTCAGGTGTTGCGTGTGCAACGAGTGTCTCGATGGAGTCCCATTCACGGTCGACGTGGACAATAAGATCTATTGCGTGAACGATTACCACAGAATGTTCGCGCCCAAATGCGCGTCCTGCGGGAAGGGGATCACGCCGGTTGAGGTATGCTCAATCCCGTAAAATTAAGTCGCTTGCGCTGTGTCAACGGCGTGTTTCTCATCGAGAAAGGTTCTTTCAGGGGACCGAGGAGACGGTCAGGGTAGTCTCCATGGACAAAGACTTTCATGTGGATTGCTACGTTTGCGAAGACTGTGGCATGCAGCTGACCGACGAGCCGGATAAACGGTGCTACCCACTCGACGGCAGGCTCATGTGTCGTGCGTGCCACATTCAACGCATATCCCACACGCAACCGAGGGCACCGCAGCCGGTATCGGCGAGCTATCAGTTTATGGGCTAAGTTGCACCAGGCGGTCGTGCTTGAGACTCTGTCAGATGGAACTGCGCACGTAATGATGAATTATCCGTGGAAATTAACCGACATCGAATGTTCGACGATGTGAACACTCGAGGCATTAGGAATTACGCATAAATGTAGGTCTAACGGGCCTAAGAACGAACCAATTTTTCTGTTGAACGGTTCTCAAAAATAGTTCTGTAGATGAAAATATTCTTAAAACCATCGAGAGCTCGGCAAATTGTTGAACAGAAAATTTTACACAACTTCTTCTGGTCCACGCAACGTGGCCATAGTTTTTCGAACATTTTAAAAATTTTACTCCCGATCACCCATAATTTTTAGAATTTTTATTATTTGACCGTAAAGGACATTTTAACATTTTTTTACACGACTGTACTTGTAAATGGAGTGATATAATATTTTTAACAGATGAAGTTCTTCGTGTGTGCAGCACATACGACATTCACGTTCTACACGATTGCTATGCAAAGTAAAAAAAAAATGTGTCGGCTGTAACAGTGGTCGTTGTTAATCTATTATGGTACAATATACCATAATATGCTCATATATTATTATAATCTTATAAAACACAAGATATCGAATAAATTAATATATCATCGATAATAACGGCTGAGAGAGATAAGAGACATAACACCAGAGATGATAACGACTGCCGATTATCTTCTATGCGCTAGGTTTGTCTCAAGTCTCAAATATCAAAAACAGAATGTAATTTTAACTGTGTCAATTTTATGTAAAACGCTACTTTAATTGTATAAGACTGCATATTAGAAAACTTGAATCACTTTGGAATTACTTTAATCGATGAAGACAAATAGATGGTATAGATAAGTACGTCTAATATATACAATCCTTATTTATTTATCCAAAATACTTTCTTTTGCGAATGCAGTGGTCTCATTACGATGAACGAGTTGCGCAGGCAACTGTGATATAATAGCATAATAGTTATTCGTCGTTATAAGCAAGAATTCCGTACTTCTTAGCACATGTATATATCTGCCACATTTTGATCACATGTTTATCATAACTCAGATTACTACGACGGAAACTCAGGAACATTCCTGCAAATTCCCTCCGTCGATCAATTATCATCGTACTTCATGTATCATTCACACACATCGACAGTATTTATTAGAATAAATATATCTTGAACTCGCGCAATATCGCGAAGTTTAGTCGGTATGCAACGGAGTATAATATATGGTATACTTCGAAGGTTAATAGAGGCGCATTTCCGCGGCACAAAGGAAAAAATGGAGGCTGATTAAATATGTTTGGAATGTAAACACGTGTAGAGAAACGGTATCAACAAGTGACAATATTATAACATTGAAAGACGCACAACTTGAGCTGCCAAAAAACTGTTGTTACTATTCAAGGTTAATAAACATAATTACTACATTTAAGTAGCTTTATGTATAAGTTGTAGATAAAAGTATAATCTTATTTAAATACGTATACAGTATGTATAAAATAGAGCAATCCTTCAATAAAGACAAATACACCTGAAAAGAAACGAGTTAAGAGTTCTTTTGGGAAACTACAAAGTACACTGACACCTATACTGTTACCATAGTACATACGTATGATGCATTTATTCACGGAAACGCGATTGGGTAAATAAGTAAATAAATCAAGAAATGATGTAAGACAAGAGAACATTTATCGGAACATAATTTACAATGAAAAATGTACATCAATATCGTCATACAATTGAATCCCGAGCTACGTCGAGTCCAACGAGTAGATACGATATAGCATGGGCAATAAAATTATGGTTTTGGCGGTTCTGTATGTTGATCCGTTTTACACTCTGCCTTGAATTTTGTCTTGTGTCCCACTGCACATGTGTTTGACTGTATTGGCTACAACACGATTAAAAGAAATTATGAAGAAAACACACCGTCGTGAGACGGAATGAGAGATGCTACTACATATTAATCACGCGATAACAACACTTCACAAAGTATAAAAGTGGCAGAGATCAGTATGATGTATTTAAAATGAATTGTAGTCGGCAACCTACTCATGATTTCGCGCGCAGGCTGTGCCATGTGTGCGTGTAAAAGGAAAACAGACAAGAGAGTTGTTTCAGATAAGGACACAGTTTATTTTTTTAATCTCAGTAGCTGACATTGCATTTTAATAACATTACTCACCTCTGCTGGCTGACGTTTAAACGATAGTGCCTTTACATAGCCTAGTTTACTTAGACGTCTAATAGCCATTGTCGTCCCTCCTATATTTTTATATTAGTTTTTTAAGTAGTGCACATATGGTAGAGAACATGAAGTCATGTGTTATATAAAATATCAAAGCTACATACCAACAGTAACAGTATATCTAAGTGGAGTAAATATTTTATAAAGTGCATAAGTTATAGCCCAATTGCCAGCGCCAGAATTACGTACTAAATCTACATATTTCTCGCCAAAATTCATATACTCCAACAACTGTACTATATCCACACCACTGAAAATATAGTTTCACATATAATCAATCACCAAACTCAAATCATACACAATACATATTAGTTATAATTTATACTTACTTCCTAACAGCAGTATAAAATATAGCTACCCATCCTATGGAAGTGACAACGTGCACAGGAATTAATATGTGCCAATAATCTTTGGTCATTTGCTTCATCTTTTGAAATATTGACACTTTCTGTTCTACTTGAGGCTTTTGACAATCGCCTTCGGATTTCTGCTTAATATCCGAGTAGTGTGCCAAGGAGATTCCATTTTTGTTAACATTTCCCTTCAATGACCTTTGACACGCCAGTATGTGATTGACAAGTCCTAAAGAATTACGTGATGCAATCCTGTGAAGAGGATGCCTCTCTGCAAGCGAAATAAGCTTGATAGTGCGCACAGTGTTGGTTGACGTTTGGAATATTCGCGTCGTTCTCCAACGTATCGTCTCGAAGCGACATGTGCAACACGCCGACAATGGGAAATATTTTGTGAGCAATGTCGGGACACTGCGTAAATCGGAACTAAACCTTAACCCGCGTATCAGGATTGCATCCATATTTAAAAATCGCCGCTACTTTTCCTAACCAGCAATTACGGTGCTTTGAGTAGAGCGATGAATTGTCACACGCGTGAGAGAAAATGAAGAAGTTGCGTATTGAGACTGTACGAGGCAGTTTCTCAATCACTGGTGCTTCAATTTGCACCTTCCATCACCGAATTCATGTACATAAATATTCACAAACTCACGATCTCGTAACACGTAACACTAGGCTCTACTTCGCATTGATCCCAGTCACAAAACCGGACGATATAACATAACTACCGCGAGCAATGACATCTATAGATCGTAACACCAATGAGATTCGTGATCTTTATTCCGCACATGTTAAGTCAGAACTGTCGGTTCAGCGTCGCTGTGCGCAGGACCATACAATAGTTGCTCAGCAACAGATATTGAACATCAGATATCGACAGTATCAGTTACCGACAAGTATGTGCACGATGTTGCGAGACTACATGACACCTGTCTGAGATGGATGGATATCTGCCTGAAGTCTCTTTCTCTCTCTCTCTCTCTCTGTCTATCCTTGTGCGTCAGTTACCCATGTGCTTGAGTGAGATAGATAGACAAGTGGAGTAAGATAGCATGAGTGTAAGATAACCACTGCTTTATCACATTGAAGGCGATAAACAGCCTCGCCAATGTATACGGAATGTGTATATTTCAAGATATGATATGTGATACTACTGTTAAAAATTATTAAAACTGATAGAAATCGCGTAAAACATCGCGTACTTGACAAGCACGGTCTCGCACATTGTTACGCGTTTATAACATGAATTAACATGTTAACATGTGCAAAAAAAAAGAATTGACATTTGTGTATGATTAATATCATGAAGATCATACGAAGTGTCCGGTAATTAGCTGCCAACCCGAAGTGTGAGGGTAGATTGGGTTGAGACAAACATAAAAGTCCCATACTATTTTGCGAGATTCGCAATAATTATCGAGTTATTAATAACAGAAATCTGAGGAGTAAAAGCGCGCCGACATAGATGATTCGAAAAGCGTAGCAGCTGCTCGGGCCAGCGATCATGAATCTTTTCCCTAGCGTGAACTAATAAAAAGTGAAAACTTCTGTGTATCAGTGAAAAATGAAAAATTTTATATGAATTTGTGAAAATCGAAACATTTCACACGACAATTGAATCGTTCAACATGGCAGTTGCGCGTTCATAATTCAATGAATACCAAAGAAATCAAAATGATGAAAATAATAATGTCCGTGTAGTCCGAAGGATATTACGTGACACGCAAAATCCGTTTGATATAATATCCAAAGAAAATGTTTCAAAATATGTATGTACAGGTAATATAAACCTTACGCACCGACGAGATATATCTACAAAGACTGATGGCCTTACGGGATTTAGCGTACCAAAGAAATTTCCCTGGTGAGGCATCCGGGCGAAAGAGACCGTCTCGCATTTAGCGCAGTAAATTTAATGGAAACTAATACTTTTCAATCCTTTTCTTCGGATCAAAAAGAATCAGAATTCGGACATATTCAAAATGTCAATACTTTTTAATACGTTTCAATTCGACATTTTACACAGGGAAGCAGGACGAAGGGAATGGGATGCGGGCAACGATACATCATGCGTCTCCAGACGTGTCAAATCGTTTATTATAGAGGAGACTTTGATACGGCAACATGTATTCGAATATTTAATCGTCCCATGGACCACTTACATATAATAAAAAAAGAAAATTAACGCGGATAAATGAACAATTCGTATCAATTTTTTCTTTTCTTATAGAGCAATAAAAGAATAAATCAGTATCGAAAATCGAATACCGATTAATACTATAAATCAGTGTCAGAAAATTGTCCAATGACAATTTGTTCTCATTTTTCAGGTAGTTACCGCTGTAATTTACGAAACAAATTAACTCGGTTAAACGAACGATTCGTACAAATTTTTCTTCTCTTATAAAGAAATGAGAGAATAAATCAGTACCGAAAATTGAAAGCCGATCAATATCTAATTTATTCATCAAATTAACGCGGATTAATGGACGATTCGTATTAATTTTCTGTTTTCTTATAGAGAAATGAAAGAGTAAATCAGTACCGGAAATCGAATATCGATTAATACCATAAATCAGTATCCAAAAATTGCACACGTGCAATGACAATTTGTTCTTATTTTTCAGGTACTTACCCTTCTAATTTACTCAACAAATTAATTTGAATAAACGAATGATTCGTATCAATTTTTCTTCTCTTATAAAGAAATGAGAGAATAAATCAGTACCGAAAATTGAAGACCGATCAATATTTAATTGTATATATACTTTATTGATTCCCCTGGCGGGAATCAATAAAGTACAATACAAATTCCAATATAATCTCTCCTCCTTACTTCCTATTACACTCGCCCGCCCCTATCCCCTCGTACACATATACACACATACTCCCATTCCCCGCACCTCCTTAAATCTACTTTACAAATGTCTTACATCTACTCGCTCGCTTATCTCTTATAATTAATTGTTCGTTTATCATATATTCTTATACATATGTATATATCTATATTTCTATGCCGCTGTTACTCCTATAATTCTTATTTCCTACCGCCGATTTTCCCTTTCCTCCATTCATTCCATTCCTTCACATTTTCTCCCTCGCTCTCTTTCTCTCTCATCCTTTTAATCCTCCTCGTCCTCCCTCTCGCCCCCTTCACTCCTCCACATCTCTCATCCCCACTCTCCCTTCCCCTTCTCCTAGCAGTCTTTCTACCACCTATCCCCATCCCTCTCCCTCCGCCCCATCGTGTACGATCAATATCTAATTTATTCATCAAATTAACACGGATAAATGAATTATTCGTATCAATTTTTTCTTTTCCTATAGTACAATGAAAGAGTAAATCAGTATCGAAAATCGAATATCGATTAATACCATAAATCAGTGTCAAAAAATTGCACACGTGCAATGACAATTTGTTCTTATTTTTCAGGTACATACCCCTCTAATCTTATTCAACAAATTAACTCAGGTAAACGACCGATTCGTATCAATTTTTCTTGTCTTATAAAAAATGAGAAAATAAATCAGTACCGAAAATCGAAGACCGTTTAATATGTAATTTATTCATCAAAATAACGCGGATAAATGAACGATACGTACGAATTTTTATTTCTTATAGAAAAATGGAAGAGTAAATCAGTGCCGAAAATCGAATATCAGTTAATAAATCAGTGTCAGAAAATTGTCCAAGTGCAATGACAATTTGTTCCCATTTCTCAGGTACTTACCCCCTCTAATCTTATTCAACAAATTAACTTGGATAAACGAACGATTTGTATCAATTTTTTTTTGTCTTTTAAAAAAATGAGAAAATAAATCAGTACCGAAAACCGAATATCGATTAATACCATAAATCAGTGTCAGAAAATTGTCCAAGTGCAATGACAATTTGTTCCCATTTCTCAGGTACTTACCCCCTCTAATCTTATTCAACAAATTAACTTGGATAAACGAACGATTTGTATCAATTTTTTTTTGTCTTTTAAAAAAATGAGAAAATAAATCAGTACCGAAAACCGAATATCGATTAATACCATAAATCAGTGTCAGAAAATTGTCCAAGTGCAATGACAATTTGTTCTCATTTTTCAGGTACTTACCCCTCTAATTTATTCAACAAATTAACTGGGTTAAACGAATGATCCGTATCAATTTTCCTTTTCTTATAAAGAAATGACAGAATAAATCAGTACCGAAAACCGAAGACCGATCAATACCCAATTTTTTCATCAAATTAACGCGGATAAATGAACGACTCGTATTAATTTTCTGTTTTCTTATAGAGAAATGAAAGAGTAAATCAGTACCGAAAATTGAATATCGATCAATACCGTAAATCAGTGTCAAAAAATTGTCCAAGTGCAATGACAATTTGTACTCATTTTTCAGGTACTTACCCCTCTAATCTTATTCAACAAATTATCTCGGGTAAACGAACGATTCGTATGAATTTTTTTTGTCTTATAAAAAATGAGAAAATAAATCAGTACCGAAAACCGAAGACTGATCAATACCATAAATTAATGTCAAGAAAATTGTCCAAGTGCAATGACAATTTGTTCTCATTTTTCAGGTACTTACCCCTCTAATTTATTCAACAAATTAAGTCGGATAAAAGAACGATTCGTATCAATTTTTATTCTCTTATAAAGAAATTAGAGAATCAATCAGTACCGAAAATTGAAGACCGATCAATATTTAATTTATTCATCAAATAACGCGGATAAATGAATGATTCGTATGAATTTTTTTTTCTTATAGAGAAATGAAAGAGTAAATCAGTACCGAAAATTGAATATCGATCAATACCGTAAATCAGTGTCAAAAATTGCCCAAGTGCAATGACAATTTGTACTATTTTTCAGGTACTTACCCCTTAATCTTATTCAACAAATTAACTCGGGTAAACGAACGATTCGTATAATTTTTTTGTCTTATAAAAAATGAAAAAATAAATTAGTACCGAAAACCGAAGACTGATCAATACCATAAATCAATGTCAAGAAAATTGTCCAAGTGCAATGACAATTTGTACTCATTTTTCAGGTACTTACCCCTCTAATTTATTCAACAAATTAAGTCGGATAAAAGAACGATTCGTATCAATTTTTATTTTTTATAAAGAAATTAGAAAATCAGTCAGTACCGAAAATTGAAGACCGATCAATATTTAATTTATTCATCAAAATAACGCGGATAAATGAATGATTCGTATGAATTTTTTTTTCTTATAGAGAAATGAAAGAGTAAATCAGTACCGAAAATTGAATATCGATCAATACCGTAAATCAGTGTCAGAAAATTGTCCAAGTGCAATGACAATTTGTACTCATTTTTCAGGTACTTACCCCTTTAATCTTATTCAACAAATTAACTCGGGTAAACGAACGATTCGTATGAATTTTTTTTGTCTTATAAAAAAATGAAAAAAATAAATTAGTACCGAAAACCGAAGACTGATCAATACCATAAATCAATGTCAAGAAAATTGTCCAAGTGCAATGACAATTTGTACTCATTTTTCAGGTACTTACCCCTCTAATTTATTCAACAAATTAAGTCGGATAAAAGAACGATTCGTATCAATTTTTATTTTTTTATAAAGAAATTAGAAAATCAGTCAGTACCGAAAATTGAAGACCGATCAATATTTAATTTATTCATCAAAATAACGCGGATAAATGAATGATTCGTATGAATTTTTTTTTCTTATAGAGAAATGAAA